AGTTTACTCACTTCGATCCAAGTAATACAAAAGAAAAGGACTCCAGTGTGGTGTGTCCTGTGAGGCAAATGAGTCAGTATCTCTCAAGGATCAACGTCAGGAAATATTGATAGAATGAACAGTTTGTTAATGACAGAAAGGGCAGAGGCGTTTGCTAAAAGATCCACTCGTTAAGAGTTTACAGGCAGCTGGTCAACTCTCCTGGCACGCCTGCTGACTCAGCTCCGTCTCCACACGTGACCCTGGGATTACCAGCCGAGAGCGACTCCACTGACGGCACAAACAAACGCAGCAAAACCCACCGTCTGATAACCTCCTCCGAGGCTTTAATGGTGACAGACGGATCAGATGATTGGATGAAACACAAAGTCAAGTTTTGTTCATCTCATTTGACAAGTAAAGGTGCCTTTGAAGCCAGCATTGAATTTACGAGTAGCTGTGCTGTTTTCTGCCTGTCCACTTAGTGCAGATGCAAGCAGAGAAGAAGAGAGGCTGACATGGAGACAGAATCAGCTGAAGTCAACAGGGCGTATAGTAAACAGTCATCACAACTTACTGAGCTGGAAAAACCTTTTATCATATTCACATGTTTGTCTTTTTGCTCATTTTCGGTCAACTACCTGACTGTTTACAGAGGAATGCTATTTTGTTCTTGCCTTTTGAGCCACATGATCCTGACCTGTGACTCATTCTGCCATAAAAGGCTCCTAAACTCCAGCTGAACCAGTGCTGGATCAACGTACTGGGCGACTTGGCAAAAACGTAATTTCAAATTGGCTCTTCAGGCACATTTTTACCAGCAACCTGTCACAAAGACACCATTTGTTCCTGTTTCTTAAATTGAATTTAAAAAAGCAATGCCAAAGGTAACACAGTTTAAGCTAGTTATTTAGGGTCAATGAGGGGATTCCCAAAAACTGGTGGCTATAGATGTAACACATACAGAAACGTTTCAGTTTCCAACTCACAAATGACAGAAACTTGTGACCCCAGCTATATTTAGTTAAAGTAAACATTACAGCTGGGCCAACTGAACATCAGGTGTAATGACAAAAAAACATTATTATATGGTTTTATTGACCAGTAACATCACTTTATCTCTTATATCAATTATAGCAAATAAATGTCATTTGTAATTATTTTTAACATTTATTTTGTTTCTGGGGGGAGGTGGGGCACTGTGGTACCAGTAGTTTAGTATTTATCACGTCTCAGATGGAGAGTTTTTGTTTCCTTTCAGATATTGTTTGTTTGCTGGTGATAACTTTTAGCTGGGATTTGTCTTTTTAAACTCCTCCCACATGTTTGTGTGTCTCTTTAATGACTCAGTGAACAGTGTGCTGTAGTGTTAAACCTGTCAGAAAATTTTGTGGCGTAACTGCCAAATAAGGTCTGGACTTACCAACTACAATTACGTCTCCTCTTACTCAGAAGAGAGCTGAAAGAGGGGCTTGTGGAGTTACAATAAGGAGGAATTCAGACCAAAGCATTGCAGTTCTATTTTAAATAGACCCCAACTGAATGATTTAAATGTGAAAAAGAAGGATTTAAAAGCAGGATATCTCCTTTTAAAAGAATTGGGGTTTGGTTTGAAACTTTTTCACAAACCTGTATATATTTTTTGAATACTCGGTATAAAGTATTGTAACTTATCGAGACTGTATCATTTTCACATCCTATAAATGACCACAGCTAAACATTTTGTATAAAGTGTTTCTTCCATTGACGTGTTTAGAAACTGTGAAAATTAACACAAAACTAAAGTGTTTTTTGCTTGTTTTTCTCACATTGGTTTCATTCTTCTACTCTTTCAGCCGGGGGCCAGCCTGGAGCAGACCCACATTTTTGTTCTTGCACATATTCTTCGAAGACCCATCATAGTCTACGGAGTGAAGTACTACAAAAGTTTCCGTGGGGAACCTTTAGGATACACTCGTTTTCAAGGTCAAGCAGCATTTTTACTTTATTTTGTTTAAACTGCAAAACTTTGAGTCAACACATAAATTTCAGAGTTGCTCTTCKTCGACGCAGCGGACTCTGGCACTGGGTTAATCTGAGCGAACAGCCTGTTCTTCTCAGATGTAATTAGCACGGCAGTGAACAGCCTGTCCCGCCTTGTCTGACTCGTTCTGCGTGTCTTCAGGTGTGTACCTGCCTCTGTTATGGGAGCAGAGTTTCTGCTGGAAGAGCCCCATCGCCCTGGGCTACACGCGGGGCCACTTTTCCGCCCTGGTGGCCATGGAGAACGACGGCTACGACAATCGTGGTGCGGGCGCCAACCTCAATACAGACGATGATGTCACAGTTACGTTCCTGCCCTTGGTCGACAGCGAGAGGAAGCTGCTGCACATTCACTTTCTCTCTGCTCAACAAGTAAGTTGTAATACTGCAATACTGCTACTAATACTCTCAAGTACTACAGCTGCAACTTAAAACTGGTACATGTCTCTCCCTGATATTTATTTATATATTTTTTTTAGTTTTTATTCATTTGAGTATACGGTGCAGCACCAGATGTCAAAAAAAGCTTTATTTGATTTCATCTAATAGCAGCTCACAACTCACATTTTCGTACAGTATTTCTGATACTGCCCCCTAGTGGCTGCAGTACGCTAAGGCACTGCAGCATGTCAATCAATGTGAAAAGTGTTCAAGTGATGGGGAAAAAAAACACAAACATGTATTTTTCTCTTCAGAAAAAATCATATGTGCAATTATTCCTCATWAAAACTGTCAATAATTAATRTTTGCCACTTTGCAGTAACTACAATTACTGCTGCGTGATATATTTTTGTGTGCGACCCTCTCATTAACGAGGGTGCATGCGAGCCGGGGCATTTTGTGTTACGAACGATCTGCTGCCACTAAATGCTGTGGAAAAAGTAGGTTTCATTCAGTTTAGTAATTTAACCCGATTTAAAATAAAGAATTTTAGAACACAGAACTATTTTATAGTAAAAACATGCAGAGCAGTTGTCATTTATTCATAGTTATTTTCATTGTTTTTCATAGGGTTGTCTCAGTACCAGTTTTTCTCAAACCAAATACTTCAATTTGGGCTCTCGCCAATACCAAGAAATTACTGAGTTAGAAATAAAAAAAAATATGCAATTTTATAAAAACACATTTCATTTATTCTGAATGCTCRTGTCACATTTCATCTGACGTTTTTATGTCTGACACTATAACGTCAAGTCATGCAGTTTAAATGTAACACCACACATCTTCAGCAGAACAGAAGTCCAGTTGCTTCGTCTTTTTTCCGTGTCCTGGATAACTGAGAATCTGCAGATGCATGAGTAATGTTGATTGTGTCGATACTAAAGTTACTGGATCCATAATTTAGTTTCTCTTTGTTCCATRAATACGCACTGCAMCGGAGCATCGGGCCAGAGGCAGGTTGAAACATAAACAGTGAACTAAACTATCATGTCAGATAATTATTTAACTGACACTGATTACACAACTTCAGAATCCACATGCTAACGTAGCATCCACAGTGAGCTGAATGTGACGTCACGCCCTCTTCTGGGCGTGTGAATCGACGGCATGAAGCGTTCACTGGAGTCTGGTGGAGGTCGCGTTTATAAAATGACGTGAAGGTCCACGCAAAAACCTGCTTCAGTTCCAGTTCTCAGGACATTTTCAACGAGTACTTTTAAAAATGCTGATATCTGGTCACCGCTAGTTATCAGCTAAATATCACAATTATTTGTGATTATTTTGCAAATATCACCCAACTCTACTTCACACTAATAGATCAGTCATTTAATGATGTAGAAATGATGATAAAAGTTAAAATATTCAAGTCGAAACACTGAAAAATCTTGTATTTTGACAGCTTTTATGGCTTTAAATGTCTGTAAATAAAGTCAGAATTCTTGTGATTTGTTTAAACTTTAAAAGATGATTTTTCTTTTTTTTTATTTTTTGCTGCAAAGTATTCCTGACCTGTAGAGATCTAAAGAGAGCTCTGGTGTGTGTTTGTGTGTGAGTGAGGTAATGTGGGGATATACATGTGGCCCCTTGACACAAATCTTTCTTGATGTAGAAAAACAAGGTTCCCACTGGTCCTTGAAATCCTTGAAAGTTTGTGAATTTGAAAAAGAAAGTTTGTGAAAACAGCCAAAAATTACACTTGTCCTTGAAAGTCCTTGAATATTTTTGGGGTATTGAAATTCTCTATTCACACAACTGATTTTCATCATCTTTTAAAAACTAATTTATAAAATTTAATAAAAAATAAACTTACATTTGTTGCGGTGGATAAGTCAAGATTACGGTGAACTGATGTCATTGATTCTGACTCAACAACTTCTGTGTTCAGTTTTTCATTGAATTTACATGATAYTAAACCTGTTTATTGGTAACATTCTGCSATAGCAGTAGGTAATTGCTTTTGCGTGTGGTTCTTTAATTTGAAGAAGCTGGTACTAGGAAGTCCTTGAAAGGTCCTGGAATTGGATGTTGGACAGGGTGTGGGAACCCTGAGAAAAAAACCTGACAAAATATTGAAGTACAAAACGATTCAGTGTTTTTGAGGTTGTGTTACGTTAGGAGTAACAGTTTGTTTCCATGTGAGAACGGGTAAAATAAGTTGCGATCTTAGCTTGGGTTACTTGGTGCGCACTTCAACGTGTTTTTGTATTTTCTTCCTCCCTGACCCAGATGGGGAACGAGGAGCAGCAGGAGAAGCTGYTGCGGGAGTGGCTGGACTGCTGCGTGACGGAAGGCGGCGTCCTGGTCGCCATGCAGAAGAGCTGCCGCCGCCGGAACCACCCCCTGGTCACCCAGATGGTGGAGAAGTGGCTGGACCGATACCGCCAGCTCCGCCCCTGTGCCTCTCTGTCCGACGGCGAGGAGGAGGAGGACGACGACGAGTGAGCGAGGGCAAGTAGAGAAGTGAGAGAGCTCGCAGGACTTAAGAAATCTGGACATTGTAGGCTCAGAGCGAGGGGTCTTTGCTACTTTAGGTTTTTGTTTCTCCCCCCTTTTTAAAAGCTGTAAATCCTTAACTTGTAACAATGCATGTGATCTGTGAGCGCCGTGGTAGAGAACATACCAGCACTATGAAACTGAATCCTCATTACTTCTCCCATGACAGCTTATAAAGTCCTCGTTTGCCACCCTATACTCAAATTACTCCTCATTTATCTTACTTGAAGAAAATACTAGAAGATATGCAGTATTTAAGGATTCACCGAGCTGCAGTAGATCAGACTCGCCTGAGAAGATGCTAACTCTGTATGTGTGTGTGTGTGTGTGTGTGTGTGTGTGTATGTAAAGTGTGTGTTGAGTTAAATAACCAGAGTTTCCCCGATTGCTAATCATTTCTGCAAAACCTGTTTGATGCTGGATTTATTTATTTCTTCAAGTGCATACACACACAAAGAGACCCCCTTCTTGGTTTCTTTTTCTCTTTTCTGTTTTTTAAAAATCAGTTTTGTTGGATTCACTTAGTCTTGAAGTATTTTTATTTTGCACACATAAAACCTACAATTTGTCCATGGCAGGGGAAGAAACACTGAAGTTTACTGACATTTTTATGTGACCTGGTAGCTCATGTTTGTGTTCAGAGTGACGCTGGTGGGGGAAGAAGACGACGACGACGAAGAGAAGAATAAAAAAAAGAGAGAAAACCAAACACTCTGCCTCTTCTATGGAGAGCATTAATATTAAATTTAACTCACTTGCATCAACCGAATCGCTGTTTGTTTTTTAATTTCTGAACTCTTGTTTGGATTTAGATCACAGGCAGTGATGAAGGAGGAGTCCTGGGTGCATTAACCGGGGGGATTTTCAACCTTCGTCCATTTTTGGAGAATGTTTAGAGTTTTTTTTTTTTTAAATATCCACACTAAAGCGTTGTGTCTGTCTCTACTTCTATTAAATAAATGTTTTAGCCCTCAAGCTTAACAGAAAAGTCACAGTTTTCTTACCAAGATCACAGTTGATCAKTATTCACCAATCTTTGCTACAACAATCAATTCTAACATTTCTGACCAAACATTTTTTTAAAACTGAGGGCTGAGATGTTGATTTCATAAAAATGACAAAAAAAAAACCCCACAAAGCTGAACTGTGACTGTCTTTATAAATGTTTTGGTGGTTATCACATCCTSAAATGGTTYWGATTTAAACCCTTAAAGGCCAACAYCCACCATTAGTCCCAAGTGCCCTTAAACTGGTAATCACTGTAGATCCTTGGGCCGGAACATAGATATCTATGTTTTGTCTCTGTCACATTTTGCTGAATGTGAAGATATGATGGGTGTCGGATTTAAAAACAGTTTTCACTGGTCTGCAGCTGTCAGATTGCAAGAAAATAAGCACTTTTCCATTTTAGTCTCAATGAATTTGAGTGTTTAGTTGTGTCCAAATTCAGGGGTTTCGTCCTTTGACCACAAAGACCAAAAGAAAGTGGCCGTGAATGTAGACGCTCTGGTCTTCAGCTTTATTCCCACCATTCCCCCCGGCGTAAGTCCTGTCACCTAGCAACTGTGATGGCGCTAAACCGAAGCAATGAAGATTAAAAATAGATGGAAATGAGCTAAATGTGAATATATTATTGTGAATTAGCTGGCGATACATGAACATGTCCAGCTATATGAGCTTGTTTGCAAGTTATAAAACACGTTTATACAAATGACAAAACCTAACAACACAACCGCTTTAGACTTTCCATTTTTGGACCGTCAGACTTAAAGGGGCAATATCATGTAAAATCAAATTTTTGAGTTTTATATCATGTTATAATGTTATACTCTCATAAAAAACATGCCCAAAGCCTTGCTTTGACTCATTCATGCATGTTTGAGAAATCCTGCAGTGTTTTTAAGAAGACATGCTGAGGAGCAAAACGACAGGTGGGGACCAGGAACACCCCTGGGACGTGTCTTTAAGATGAACTTCATCATCACGGAGCACACCTCCCCACCCGACTCCTTCAGGCTCTCGAGTGAAACTGAAAGTGAAACTTAAACTTTCTGCTGCTCTTAACACTATACAGCGGGTAAAATAAGTATTGAACACGTCACCATTTTTCTCAGTAAATATATTACTAGAGGTGCTAATGACATGAAAATTTCACCAGATGTCGGTAACGACCCAAGTGATCCATACATACAAAGAAATCAAACCATAAATGTCCAGAAATGAAGTTATTTGTAATAATGTGGAATGGCACAGGGAAAAAGTATTGAACACACTTACTGAAATTTATCTAATACTTTGTACAAAAGCCTTTGTTGTCAATGACAGCTTCAAGACGCCTCCTGTATGGAGAAACTAGTGGCATGCATTGCTCAGGTGTGATTTTGGCCCATTCTTCCACAAACAGTCTTCAAATCTTGAAGGTTTCGTGGACCTCTTCTATGAACTCTGATCTTTAGTTCTTTCCATAGATTTTCTGTTGGATTCAGGTCAGGTGATTGGCTGGGCCATTCCAGCAGCTTTAGTTTCTTTYTCTGAAACCAACTGAGAGTTTCCTTGGCTTTGTGTTTGGGCTCATTGTCTTGCTGAAATGTCCAGCCACGTTTCATCTTCATCATCCTGGTAGATGGAAGCAGATTTTTATCAAGAATGTCTCTGTACATTTTTCCACTCATCCTTCCTTCAATTATTTGAGGTTTGCCAGTACCATATGCTGAAAAACAGCCCCACACCATGATGTTCCCACCTCCAAACTTCACTGTTGGTATGGTGTTTTTGGGCTGATGTGCAGTGCCATTTGACCTCCAAACATGATGTGTWTTCTGGCATCCAAACAGTTCAATGTTGGTCTCATCTGACCAGACTATATTCTCCCAGTATTACACAGGCTTGTCTAAATGTTGTGCAGCAAACTTTAAAGGAGCTTCAACATGCTGTTTCTTCAGCAGTGGAGTCTTGCGTGGTGAGCGTGCATACAGGCCATGGTGGTTCAGTGCATTAMTTATTGTTTTCTTTGAAACAATCGTACCTGCTAATTCCAGGTCTTTCTGAAGCTCTCCACAAGTGGTCCTTGGCTCTTGGACAACTCTTCTGATAATTCTTTTCACTCCTCTGTCAGAAATCTTGTGAGGAGCACCTGGTCGTGGTCGGTTTATGGTGAAATAATGTTCTTTCCACTTCTGAATTATGACCCCAACAGTGCTCACTGGAACCTTCAGAAGTTTAGACATTCTTCTGTAACCGATGCCATCATTATRCTTTGCAACAATAAGGTTGTGAAGGTCTTGAGAGAGCTCTTTACTTTTACCCATCATCAGATGGTTCTTGTGTGATACCTGGCCATCATTTGGGACTGAACCAGCTGATATTAACTTGCACTGACAAGGGGCAGGCTTGYTTTCTAATTACTGAGAGAGTTCAGCTGGTGTCTTGGCTTTCCATGCCTTTTTACACCTCCCTTTCTTCATGTGTTCAATACTTTTTCCCTGTGCCATTCCACATTATTACAAATAACTTCATTTCTGGACATTTATGGTTTGATTTCTTTGTATGTATGGATCACTTGGATTGTTACCAACATCTGGTGAAAATTTCATGTCATTAGCACCTCTAGTAATATATTTACTGAGAAAAATGGTGACGTGTTCAATATTTATTTTACCCACCGTATCTCACTCAGTGAAGCTCTTTTCAGATTCAAAATACCTTTTGAGGAAATGTATTTTCAGATGGCAAGTAAACTGCATCAAAGCGCGCCCCTCCAAATTGACGGGACAGAAGCGGAAGGTGGTTCTTAAAGAGACAGAGGCCAATTTCAAGGTGTTTAGAAGAGGAAGTGATGAGAAGATATGTTTATTTTCTATTTAAACATAAAAACAGCATTTTAATAACAGCTAAAAATGACAGATACTTTATTATGGTAAAGTATTTAAATATATGCCTGAAAAACACATATTGGCCCTTTGAAACAAAAAAAAAATGTACCCCCGTCCCTGACCTTGTCCACCATTACAAGCAAAGAAAGAAAATCTCCCGGTCGGCCTGCAATGCATCTTGGAATATTGTGAGCTGTCGTTTTGTACCCACCTTGGCGTTTAATCTGTACGGGTTCGATGTTCCAAAGCATTGATGGTGACCCTGAATKACTGCTGCAGATGCGCAGGATTTCTCGACAAGATCTAGGAACATTAGGACCTCTTAAAGGTATCACACTTGGAAAAACATCGAGTGCTTTAGAGAAAATACGAACGTCTGTTTCTGTTGTGATCAAAACGAGACAGAATTTAGAAAAATCAAAACACGTCAGATTTTTTTTTTACAACTTAGAAACCACTTCTCTAATTTCCCTCGAAGACAGTTTGTATAGACCTAAAGAGTTGAATATTTTGTCTCATTTGTGTTTGAGTCACTTCCTCCAAATGAATCAGAACAGACAAGTTGTCAGAATCATCTTTATTTGAACTGCACTGAATGCTAAATGTTCACCTTGTACAAGAAACAAATACAAATACTCGCACTAAAAACCAAAAAAGAAAAAAAAAAGATCAAATAAAATAACATACTGCTGGCTGCCTTTTCTGCTATCGTCAGGACACTAAGGAATTTCAGCTATTGCTCTTAAAGAGTACAGGACCCCCAAAAGAACCGGGCCTTCATTGATATAACAAAGAAATTATAAAAGAGTGGGGAGAGGGGGGGGGTGGAACACATCAGGAATCTAGGAACATTTAACTAGGTATTACAAATTAACAGGACTCCTCAAAACTCTTTAACGACAAAGKTTTTTTTTTTTTAGTTTTTCTTTTTTAGAAAAATACGATGGTTGGGATGATTGAGAAAAAAAGCTTCAGATTAGTTTTTTTTCCTTCATAGACAAAACCTTTTTTGGGGGGAAAGCATCAGCAAAAGTGTTTTATTTTTTCCTGAGTTATTAAGAACTGAAGTTTGCTTTAACCCTTTCCTGCCTGGAGTTTATGTGCTCATAGATGGACGTTTCTGTACATTAAAGAATCAGRGATGGGGTTTTTCTTGCTCAGTCACATGACTCCATGCCACCTGTTAGAACTTAATCACAGTCAAATGTGCAGATAYGGATTAGTGTTAAATAGCAGTGGCGACAAAAACTAAATAACGCAGGATTGTAAAGGAAGAAATGGCAAAAATGTTACTGCATCGGTCAGGAAAAGGTTAAAACCCCCCTCTACTAGAACTGAAGAGAAGTCTTGTTTTTTTATTTGATAAATGATAAATATAAGCTGATTTATAATCATTTACACTGACAGAAAAACAAATCCTTAATTCAGGGGTCTAAACAACACTTGTTACATATGAAAAAGGAGCAGAAAGGGGAGGGGTAGATCAGGATCAATAAGGTCCAGTAGCACATGATGCCAATTTTTCATTTATTTTCAATTAATTTTTTGTCCCTTCCTCTCAGTGGTTTGAGAAGTGAACTCTTCGTGTCGTCGGGGGGTGGGTAATCCCAGAGAGCTTTAAAAAAACAAAAGAAAAAAATAAAAAACACTGGACTGTGTCCACAATCATCAGGCATGTCCCGAAGAAGGAAAGCAAAACAAAAAACATCATCAGAGTAAAGTCGAAACCCAAAGAGACGAGGGTAAGAACCGAAACGTTAAAAGTACAAACCCCCCCTCCAGGAACGCTTCTTCGTCTGTTCCTACCCGCCCCCCTCCCCCGGCTGATGGAGCAGGCAGCCGTTTTGTGTTGTTTCACTGTCTCTTGGTCCCAGTTGGTCGGTCGGTTTTCGGATGGAGGTGCGTGGTGGTCCTGCTGCTGCCGCTATTGCTCGGTGAGGTGCTCTCTGGTCTCGCCGTGTTTCGAGGGCTGGTTGGGCGACGGAGCCTGGGAGGGGTGTGTGCCAGAGGGCAGGGTGTGGGCGATGGGGACCCCACCGGGYACCATGCCCTCCAACGCCCCCGGGATGCCGCCCGGAGCCACTCCGACCACACCCGGCGGGTATCTGTGGATGGGCAGGGGTCAGAGGTCAGTGTGGGGGTGGGGTGGGATGTTACAGGAGGTTCTGCAAGGCCGAGACAGAAACTACCTCTTTTTTTTTTTTACCTCAGGAGCTTTTCAGGAACAGTTTAACATTTTACTTCCTGAAGGTACGATAACCAGACAGTCCTAAACACTGGATCTACAGCCAGTTCAACATGACATGTTGCTCCACTCACAATAATATACAGGAACTATTCACTTACTTAAACCAAAACTAGATTAAACACTTTATATTGTAAAAGTGAAAATATTTCAAGTTAAAGCCAGCTGAACAAACTCCTAACATCATTAATAATAATAATAATAATAAGACTTCACATCACTCAAAATCTGAAGTTTTACACATGCCTTCTTTAGATGACCTGTAAGATATCTGAGGTTGTGGCTACAAGTTATTCTTGGTTTATAATTAGTTGTTTAGCATAAAAAAATCCTCTGTGGTCAGGCTGAAAGGWTCATGTGTCAAAGGTGTCGAAACTGAAGAGAAACAATAAATCCTCACATTTGGCGAGCCTTAATTGGAAGTTGTTACTATTCAAACTCATTATTTCCTGTCAAACATGTTTTATTTATATTTATGATTCTTCGGTGACTATTAGAAAAGAGACATTTYGGTAGTTTAGGACAAAGGTCTGCAGCCTGAGGCTCTTTGGATCTCTACATCTGATTTGATCCAAAAAAATACATTTTTAATTCAAAACTCTGCTGCTTCACCCACAAATCACATTCTCCTTAGAAATATGGAACCATTTAAGGGAAATAAACAGGYTTAATTGTTCATTTTAATATGTAGAAACACCAACAACCGTCAACGACTTATTACTGATTTTTAATTTCATGTCACAAATCATATATGTAGTATTTAAATGAGACATATCATGCTTTTAAATCCTTTTTCACATTTAAATCAGTTGGAATTCCTCCTTATTATAACTCCACAAGCCCCTCTTCCACCCCTGTTCTGAGGTGTCTCTCGGATCGGCTCGTTTTGAGGCTGTCTCTTTAAATCCAAATTGTAGCTGGTAAGTCCAGATCTAATTTAGAGGTTTTGTCACAAATGATTTGATGTAATAGTTCTGAAAACGTAACGGAGAACAGAAGAAAAATATGACCCAAACAATATATAAAATATTTACGCAGCACTGGAAGAAATTACAACAAAATGTAGATAATAGCTAAAAAAAAATGTGGATTTTGCATGATCCGTCCCCTTTAACACTTTTATTAAAGCTTCAAGTACACTTTGCTTCTCAGTTAGGTGAGAAAAGGAAGAGGAATGGCTCTTTGTAAAGGCTGCAGACCCCTGGTTCAGGAGAGAAAGCTCAACAAAACCCAGAAACCAGGCAGGAAGTAAAATAACAAAAACAAAGCAGTTCAGAGAAAGTCAGCCTTTGAGAAGGTCCCCCCACAAACCCGTAAGGAGGGAAAACCACGAGGTGTCCGGTGAAACTACACCTGGATGGCTTCAACATTCACAGCCATCCAGCTCTACTGTCACACAGGTGAGTGCTGAGGGAGGAGGGGGGGGTGGGCTAAACAGAAGGGGGGAGGGGACACACATCAGGTGAGAGGGTCTGATCTCAGCGTATTTACCTGCTCCTGATTCTAGGCATTAATTTTGTCTTGGGGGATGCCGGTTACAGCCGGAAGAGTTTGGTTCACTTGGCTGCGTGGGAAAAAGCACATGCTGAGATCAAGAGCAGTCCTGAAGTGGATCATTCTGGTCAAAGCTTCTTTTCCACTGAGAGAGTGGGTTAGTAGGCTGCACAGTAGTGTCTGTTTATTGAGGAAAATCCATTCACTGCATCTTACTTGTGTCATTATTTCAATATAACCCTGAGGGAAACACTCAGCTGAAGTTGGTTTCTAAACGTAGCTTCCGATTCAGGATGTGGCTAAAGGGCGATTCTGCTGTTTTTCACTACGTTGAGCATCTCTGATCTGCTCYAGTTTAAAAACTGAAAYACTTACCCTCTCAAACCTGTAATGGATTATTCTAAACTTATTATACGATATTAAACAAGTTTGGGATTTGTGAAAATTCTATAAAGTAGAGTTACAGCACTTTTTACGCACCACACTAGACCTGGTCCAGATGCAGAACTACAGTACCTACACCCTTCAAACCTGTACTGGATTATTCTACACTTACACCAGAAAATTTAAAACCGAGCACATGGACCARTGCTAGTGTCCAGCTGCGTAAAAAGTGCTGTAATCGCACTTTGTATAGAATTTTCACAAATCGAATAAAGGTTTCACAAATCCCAATATTGGTTTTAAATATTCTTTAATGTGTAGAATATTCTAGTCCAGGTTTGRCGTGTCTTAGTATTTTAGTTTTTAAACTAGAGCAGATTAAAGACGCTCAAGGTGGTGAAAAATTAGCTGGAATCGACCTTTACCCATTTCCCAAATCGGAAGCTACATTTGGAAACCAGCTTCAGCTTCGTGAGGAAAACTGTAAATCCTCTCCATCATCTGACCTGTAGGTGGCGCCGTTGAGCTCAGGGTGAATGCCTGGTTGGTCCATAACGCCCCATGGTGCTGTGGTGACAAAGAACTCCTTGTTGACGCAGTTCCGTAGACTGTCGGGGATACGTCCTGTTGGTAAAAAAATAAATAAACCCGCAAAAAGTCACAACTTGTTACAGGAACCAAACAACCAGACGAAGTGTTGATGAGTTCATGCTGACAGACACATCAGGCTCTGACACACACATGCAAATTAAGATCATTTAACAGTCTGGATGTTTTGTGAAGTCCTCCGTTCTGAGGAGCTAATGACAACGCTTATTAGGAGGTCCAGATTTAATAAAGGCTGCAGAGGGAGCGGCGACGTGGAAATATGACACCTGGGTGTGAAGCCTGAGCTACAGGTCGCAGTGGGAGGTAAAAACAGAACTTCAGATGTGCTGGGGTGACTTCGTACCGGTGATGGCTCTTCGGATCTCGGTGGCGGCTGCCTCCCTCATCTCCAGTGAGGCCTGCTCGCTGTACCAGGCTGTGTGCGGYGTGCAGATCAGGTTCGGGGTGTCTTTCAGTGGGCCCTGTGCAAACCTGAAACACAAAGAAAAAAACAATGTCATGCTGTTGCTCTTGGAGTTTAAGAACATTACTCAGCAGCTACTACACCAACTTCTACCCCAATATCTGTAATAAGTTTTTTTTTTTTTTTGTCATTTTCATGTTTTCTATAAGGTCAGTTGCCTGGGATGGCCATCTCCAAATCAATCAGTAAGTTTATTCAYTCAATTCAACAACTTTCCCACAAGCTGCAAAGTGTGAAAACACTGCTGTCTGTAATTTATTGTTGTTAGTTTAGAAGAAACTTTRGCTGCAGTCATCTGTTTCACACTTACGTAGTACTTCACCCCTCTGCGGGGAGTGTTGCCTTCTGAGACCTGGTTTCTAAAAGTGCCGGTGTCAGAGACTCCGATCACCAGAGACGTGTAAACGAGCGTCTGGAGCTCATCAAAAATGTGATTTCACTGAAACCCAGCTCCGTGTAAACGAGGCCTTAGAACAACTCGTTTTGGGGCTGTCTCTTTAAATGCAACTGAGGCACTTCACATCCCGCCCCCCTCCGGGTCTCACTAGCTGCGTTTCCATCGACCATGAAAATGCGCAAATCAGAGTTTCAAAAATAAATTTGCTCAATGGAAACACGTCAATTTCGAAAAAACGTCACTTTTTCGACAAAATGTTTTTGCGCTAGGTTGAGGTGGTTTTTCGGACGTATCGAAATTGGTGTGTTTCGCAAAACTGCAATGAAAACACTTTTTTTGCATCACGGGAGTCGTGATCAACAACCGGCTGTTTCTACTGGCAAAAAAAGATGATGACAAAGAAGACAAAAGCAAATAGAAGTAGTAGTAAAATCACAGAAGTTGTAAAAGAAAGTAGTAAACTCASCGACTACACATAGCCGCTCACATGTATGAGGGGCTCGTCGCTCGAAAGCCTCGATAAGATGCCGACGTCGCCTCTGATGATGAGCACTAGTGCCATGGTAGCAAATATGCTAAATGTTTACATCCATTGCCGCCATGTTTGTAATGACTTATCGCGAGAACAAACGTATTCACGCGTGACTTTAAAAGCATTTCTTACGTAATGGAAACACCGCAGTTGCGAAACGATGTTTTTTCGACATTAACAAAATATCGACAAAGTTTTGCGCACATTTGCAATGGAAACACAGCTACTGATCATAGTCCACTCCACCTCGTTTGGCTGTTTTTTGTAGTTTGATAGAAGATATACGATTATCTTGTGGAATAGAAACTTTTTATTTACAAATTAATTAAAAGATGTCAACAACAGATTTGTCCATTCAGCCTCACATATTGGAGCCAGAGTCTGACCTAGAGCCAGAGGAGAATAAAGACGACAAATCTGCAGAACCACACATTTGCGAAATTAGGAACCCATCCATGAATTTTTTTTTTTTAAATTTCCACAGCAAATACTGAGACTGTATTGTTCATAAAAATGTCTCAGAAAACTGGAAAGGTCGGAAAAAAATACGACCCAAACAGAATATAAAGATATCTTTGCAGCACCAGGAGAAAAAAGTGGATTTAGCGTGAGACGTCCCCTTTAAACAAGAAACGGACGATGCTGAACTTCCTGTTGGTGTGCACCTACGTGAAGGGCTCCGTCTCATGGACGTCCAGGGCGGCTCCACGTATCCTGCCCTCCTTCAGCGCCTGGGCCAGAGCTTTCTCATCCACCAGGCCTCCCCGCGCGGTGTTCACCAGGAACGCACCCTGACGCATCTGCAAGAGGAACACACGGCTCAATACAGGGCAGAGGGGGGCTGGGGAGGAACAAACACAACCAGATCTAATCAGCAGCAGATTATTCGTTTTTGATCTTGAAGCTGAAGATCAATCTGTTTTGTGTCTCGGGTTTGAGGGTATTAAAAAATATATATGAGAAAACAAATCTTGACACCTGAAAGATTGAGAAAAAGGGGAGCACTCAGGAGAAATACCATCTGATGTGGGATAGAGAGGAGTCTTTATCTGGAGCCAGGAGATAAAATGAAGGATAGGATAAAAGGCGAGGCAGAGCCGCCACCCTCTACTGCTCGTGTTACTCGATAAAATGCAACAACAAAACGTTTATAAGAGAGGAAGGAGGGGGAGAAAAAGAAAGGAAAAAAAAAAGTGATTACGTTCTGAAGAAAGTAATCCCTTAATCTTGACAAAAATGCTGAAATCCAGGGGCAAGGCAAGCCTTTACGCTGGCAGGCAGTCTTTTATTAGGTCTTGATGGTTTTGACACACAAAAAAATACATAAATACTCGATTCCACTTTAGAAGCTAAGAAGCAYGGCCAACATTTTGGAGGGAAACGTGCTCTTTCTTGAAGCGGCAGCTGAGAATCCCGAGCTGCAGAGAAGACACTGTTAACTAGGTGAGGCTGTTACTCCCAACGCCGTTTATCTCACTTCGCAACACAGACGATGTCGAGCGGCGCGGGCCGATTCYGACAGACGCTTCCCTTCAGCCCGCGCAGTTCTTCGGCTCTCCTGCAGGTGTCGCTGCAGGCAGAGAGTCTGAGCGCCGCGTCGATACATTTTGCTGCAGCCGTGGCGCTGATTGCATTTGACAGAGCAAAGAGCCGAAAGTGCGTCCGGCTTTGGTGCAGCCGGGGGACGTGGTCGTAAACGCTCCCGGAGCGACGCCGGGCGGCACCTCTGCTYGCACGCCTGTTGCATCGTGGCTTTTCCCGTTCTACCTGTTTGATGGTGAAGTCGTTGATGAGGTGGTGGTTGTGCTCGTTCAGGTTGCAGTGCAGGGAGACGCAGTCGCTCTGGTACAGGAGGTCCTGCAGGGTGTAGACGCGCTGGACCCCCAGCGAGCGCTCCAGCCCGTCCTGCAGGTACGGGTCGTAGAAGATGACGTTGAAGCCGAAGACCTTGGCCCGGACCGCGACCGCCTGGCCCGACCGGCCTGAGRACACACAGGAACACGGACAGGAAGTCAGTTTTACATTCAAATACGTGACAAACAAATACGGTCTGAACATAGTGTGTGACCCGTCACATTGAAATGAGGATTAAGTCAAATTTGGTCAAAATGACCAAATCATATTTTCAGATTCCTGCTGTAAAAGCTACATTTTGATACAGAGTTCATCCTGATATCTTTAGTAGATCTAGAGATATTATTTAATTTGTCTTGTTGGTTACAATAATACATAAATATTTGGTCTAAATCCTAATTTTATGCAACTTTAACGAGAATTTTTTATGTCATTTGAAAAAAGAAACCTCAAATAGTATTTGAATATTGAGATTTCCCAGCTGGAAAGAAACAAAAGCTTTGATAGCTCACAGGGAAAATCTCAACATTTTCAGGTGTTTTTGCTCAAGATTGGGTTTTTGGTCGCTAACGCTCAAAAAAGTGCTTCAAAAAACTTTTTTAGGATAATATTTCAGACAGTTCATTGAAATGATACATTAACAAAACATTTATTTGTTATATTTTGACAAAATACAAAAAACCTTTAGACTTAATCCTCGATTCGATGTGATGGTTACAGTTTCAAACAGTCTAAAATCTGAGGTGAAGTGTTGAAATTCTGGCACATTTTCTCAATCAAACCTATCATTTTGATCAAATACTTTAAAGATAAATGAATAAAATTGCCATTCAGTAACAAATTCAAAGAAAAATGCTGCAAAACGATGAAACTTGAATTTAAATAACCGATTATTAAGTGGATCAGATTATAAACTTAGTGATAAAAAATGAGTCCAGACTTTGTTGCCATTTACCTAAAAATCACTTCAACGTTTTGTAAATATCTTTGATAGGTTTAAAATATAAATGCTGAAATGATGCGACTTTTTAAAAACCACGTTTAAACTAGAAGCTACGAACACGAAAGTTCAATTGATCTTTAAATCGACTGCACCCGGTTTCCACCTGAACCTGTTCTGCCTCACTTGAATCGTATCGGTCGGCCATTTTTCACGTTTCTASGAGATTCAAATCTTGCAGGAGTCGTGACAGAAATGCAGACGGTGATTCAGAAACGGGAGCCCGCAGACCAAAATACGCCCGAGTCTCTCGCAGACATTTGTTGTGTAGGATGTGAGTCTGCAGGAAGTGTTCCGCTTAGCAGCTGCAGCTGACCAACAAAGTTCTGGAGAGGGAAAGTGGCAAAAAAAAAAGGATCTAATAGGGTTCTTTACATGCGCAGTTCCTACTTTAGGTGGATAAATAACATTTTAAAAAGCAGAAATAAAAGAAGGACTCAGCATTCTTGATTTATACGAGTTCAGGTAATCAAGCATTTTGTAACAAATGTWTCTGCTTCTTGCTGATTTTAGTAAAATAACACAAAAATAAAATTTCTTTGCCGCTTTATCTTTTGGAGAGGGACAGGGTTTTTCAAACAGGTCGTCAAAGGGAAGAGCTGAGATCACGGAGTAAAAATCTACACCTTTGTCACTTTGCAGATTTTACAAACAGATGATGGCTTCTGGCAAAACAGTAACTGTGGAAAATCCTTAACCTTGTACATAAAATACCTGAGAACGGAGAATTTCTCTCTGTTCRGCGTGTCTAAGCTGAGACTTTCCCCAGCCTCATTTCTTCACTGATCTCTAAAAGAGAAAAACCTGAAGCTCCGCCTACTGTCCACAACCAAACATCAGGAGACCCTCACCGTCTCTAACGTCCTTCCGACAATGGACAATGTTTGGAGCTGCAGGTGGGAGGATTGGGATAAAGATGGGAGGAAACGAGGAGATAATTTTATTGCCGGGGCCAGCTGCTGTTTGGGACTGTGGAGGGAGGGAGTGGTGGGTGGTGGGGAGCCTGTGTGGAGCATATGTGGACACAGAGATAAGGTGGCGCTCTGGAAAGGCTTGTGAGACGACGGAGCAGCGATGCTGAGACGGAGGCTGGCCTACAAACGCACACAATCAGCAGCCAAACAGGTGCAGGGAGTGAAACACGCGCACAGTTGCCACAAACACGGGCAGATGAGCCTCGATTGAGGCGCGGCGACATGTCGGGGCTCATCGGAGGCGGAAAATCATATAAACGGGTCAGTTTTTCATGGTTTCAGCCTTGCGTGTTTAAGAAAACCGCACTGTTGAAAGTCCTCAGTGGTATTTTCCAGACAATTAGTCACTTTTTTAAAAATTATTTATTAGTTTGGCAAGTCCTGTGTTTTAAATATGTTTTTTTCCTCTTCATGACATTTTTTTTTTTGATTGATGTGTTTAGTTTTACACTGACTGACAYGAACCAAGAAGTAAACATTACCGTCTGCAGCCATGAGAGGGCGCTCTTCGATTGTGACCACATATTGTTTCATTACCTGACAGCCCGAAACAGTTATAAAGCAGCAGAAAGAAAGTTGTGGGGGACTGGCAAAAAGCTGAAGTTACTCTTACTGCAATGATGAAAACTAAAACTAAACTAAATTTAATCGCCTGATGTGAAGAGATTGGTATATTTAACGGTAATTTCCTTGTTGGACTTGCTGACTTGTTATGTTAATTAAAGCATCCCAGGTATATTCTGTGTTATTCCAGATTAAATGTCTGTTCTTAAGACTTTGTGAAATACATTTCTAAATAAATGTGACATGTTTTTTTTTTACGTTTTTCCTCTTCATGATGCATTTTTTTGACTGATGGGACTTATACTCTGGAAAATACGGTACTAATTTTCCAAATGCCTCTTGTTTTCATGTGGGCCCGAACACAAGTTTTACAAAAACGTAACGGAGGAACCTTCAGAACTGTTTACTATAAATCAAATAAAGAGCAAAGCAAAAATCCTTTATTTTTACAAATAATCTACTCCAAAGAAAGGTTTTTATCACTTTACGAACTGTCAACAGCACAAAAGGACGAGCTGAGGACAGAGAAAGGAAGGAAGCCYGTTGGGAGACCAAACAGACAACCTTGAGCTAATTGATGGGACGAGTAGAAAAAGAAAAATAACTTTATCTGAGCAGAAAAATATAAAGGTGCACCGAATGGCAGGGGAAAAGAAAGTACAGGTCAGAGTTGTGATCCTGTTACTAAAAATATGAGGTACTCACCAAAACCGATGAGGCCGAGGGTCTCGCCGCGGATGCGTGCGGCACCTGAAGCCACCTCGCGGATCTGCTCCACGCTCTGGACCCGCGTGCCCTCCCGGAGGGCCTGGTAGAGCCAGGTGTTCCGCCTGTAAAGGTTGAGGATGTGGCAGATGGTGGAGTCGGCCGTCTCCTCCACGGCTGCGGAGGGAATGTTGCACACGGCGATGCCTGGAGAGGAAGCGAAGAGGCCAAGATGAGTCGGGCTGGTGACAAAAATCAATGCTGGGAGTTCTTATCAGAGCGTTTATCAGGTGTGTGTTTAACCCGCGGAGGCCTGAGGCTTAAACATCTGTCTGAAAGATGGGGAGGGGGGCTGAGTAGGAAAACAAATATATTATATTTAAAGTTATTACAGTCACTAGGCCTGTCGGGGTGAGCAATAAATCAACTAATCGCTCGATAAATTAAAATGAGGTCGATAATTTTCATGTGCCTGCTTGTTTGTTTTCTTCTCTTCTTGTCCTTAGAGAAGGGAGGAGTGAACTCAGGTCAGGTATCTGTCAGGTACATGGTCCTCTGTAGCAGGAGAGCCCCGGGAACAGGCTTTTAGCTAGAGGAGCAGCATCTTTCAGCTGGCGACGCCTCAGGGCATCGTGCTGATCTTTGGGTTCGCCGAGAGTTTTTTTTACATTACGAACATTCAGGAAATTTACATAAACTTCGTAAGCAGTATTTGGTTCCATTTGATCATGATAACTTCGTTTAAAGAAATTATTATTTTTATTTTTTTATTATTGAATCTGATGAAGGG